CCAGAAACCGCGCTTGCGAAGCCGGGGCGTATCACTTTTTTATGCTTCAGGTGTATTTAACTTCCTTCACGCAATTCGCTCAAAGAAACTTCATCGGACGTCAGTGCAAATGTTAACACATCATCTCATTTAACAAGTGTTCATTAGCGATCAGTCTGCAACAGGGTTGCCAGATGGCCGGGTTACGTTTGGATCCTCCCGAAATTTTAAATGATCTCCAGACTCCTGACAAAATTCAAAATCTCCAGACAAACAGCTACTCGGAAAGTTAATGTATGGCCTTTGATTTAATATTTTGATTGGACTTTGAAGTAAATTGTTTGAATCGTAAATATTTTTTGAATACTACTAAAGGATCCAAATTGGTGGACTCTAGTAAAGTCCAATGCCATATACATGTGGCAATCTAAATATTAAGTGTACTTAAATTAGTTTTGTTTAAAGTACTTTTTGTAGTATCTTAATTTTAAAAAAAAACCTTTAATTTTTAATACTCATTTCTCCCAACAACAACAGCCCCGAAGTCCCGACTTTTTCGAAATTAGTCCAGATATTTTGGTCTAGTGATCTGGCAAACCTAGTCTGTAATATGAATCGTTTGGGCACAATCCCGTTCCGCTAGTTGCGCGCTCCTATTATTTATAAATTACCACTTCCTCGTGTTATATAAAACTTTTCATAAAAACATTGAACTAATGCTAAAAACACACACTTCCATTGTGCTCGATTTAATGCCCATTCCCATTTCTATTGTGTTACACGAAATCGCTGACTTCTGTCAGTTGGAAACGGAATTCGTGATTTATTCACATACTTAAAATAAGAGTTAACTTTTAACTCAACTATATTTAAATACCCTTCTAGCTTCGCGTGTATCTATCTATCTATGTAATAGAATCTTAATAAAATCATCTATCTATGTAATAAAATCTTTAAATGTAATTTTCACCGAACCAAATTTTGTAGAGCCGATCGATTTAAAAATTTGCACTTGTATCAAGGATCGAGGACAATACAATAATTTAATAACTTTATCCTTGTACCCTGATCATCTGATGTAAACATCTCATAACTTTGTAACGGAGTGTCCGATCGAAAAGCGTTTTACGGCATCTGAAAGGGGAAAAAACTAAAAAATTCGATTTTTTCCAATTTTCACACAAGGTTTTTTTTAATTACTTAGACATCCTTGTTTTGATCAATTCTACGAACTAATCAGCTATTCTACTAGAAAAACGATGAGGATTGTCGCAAACCGCATTGAAATTGGTTGATTCGTACGGGAGATATCGTTATCGAAAGACATTTCGAGTGTTTTTTCAAAATAAGTCGAAAAATTTTTAGCTCTTCGATCTAAAAACGTCTTAATAGATGTAATTTGAAGCGTTTTGCATTTGAAATTTGCGGAAAATCGCAGAGATGGCCTGTAGGTTCAACCGTATTTTTTATTTAATAGTTTGAGTTTTGAAACCTTTTGCGTTGATTAAGGAACATAAATCATAAGCTCAAGGTGACAACAAGACTGTTACTGTTCTAAACAGTTACGTTAAAAATTCATCTCCTACTTTATCACCCTTATAGGTAGAACTGTTACTTTAAATTTATGTGGAACCATCTCTGAAGAATGCCACAAAGCACGGTCCTTAGTCACCTGCATCCATGTCCTACCAGCCTATCGGTATATCTTACCAGGTCGGCAATCCATCTAGTGGGGACCCGCCCCACTTTTTTTCACTTCTTTCATTAGTTGAAAGAGGCCTATATGCGCCAGTGGCCACAGTGCATCAATGATTATGATGATCCATCCACAAATTGGGCTTCCTCCAAAAATTTGTCCTCATATGTCCGTATATTTACCACAGGTGCCATGTTTACGGTTGGAAACGCAGTTTACTATTCTGAGTTGTTATTAGGAAACCTCTGCTGCTTATCTTTCGATCTATTCTCCTACGTCTCCTCTTACGAGACCCACGGGATGATATGGCTTAGTGGATACACTTACATCGCTACTGTACGATAGTTTAATTATCAGCTAAGACAATCATTATCGCGATTAAGTCGGTTACATAAAATATATCACCAATAGGAAATTAACATATTATCGGATAAAGGAAATGTTACACATGAAAGTAGGAAGCGTATCGTAACGTGTACTTGTTGACCTTATATATAATTATTTTTATAATTACTTGTTTCAAACAGTACTGGCGAATTTATAATAAACTTCAAAAAACGAGTATAATGTTAAGGTGTAAACAAGATAAATTTTTGCGTTGTGTTTTATTTATAGAATACAGGTGACAAACGAGCACACAGTCCATCTAATGGTAAGTGGATGCTGTGGCCCATAGACATCTATATCTATAAAACATAAAGTGCAGATGTGTTGTCACTTCTGAGGACTAAGATGAAATGCCTCGTTTCTATTAAAGGAGGTTTTCGTTTCTCTACACTCACCTTATAAAATACAGCAGCATTAAGCTGCTATTTTACACTGGTAGTCTGTGAGTGTTCGGTTTATTTTTAATTTTTTCATGTCAATTGAAACTTGTTGTTACGTAATAAAAAATAAAAATATAAATTCTTCGCAACCTTCCGCCAAACAATACAATTCCAACACCTCCTCCCTCTCCATCTCCCAAACAACCCCAACACCACTATTGCAGGAAACACACCATCAAACTTACTCAAGACCCCAAAATAAAGATTTCCGCAAAGTGACCCTGATTCTATCAGTTACATAAATAGTTACATTGTAGAATTTACTAATTTGTGTATTATTTGAAAATGAAAACATACTGATGAATCTGAATTAGTTCAGATTCATCAGTACAGTATGAAACATAAGTTGTCTGTTGTAGCCACTTAGCATTGGGTATACTGTAAGTTTTTTTATCACTTAAGTAGTGTTAAAAAATCACAAACATTTCATTTCATATTTCATTGTTATAATTTGTTTGAAATTTATAATTAAATTTCAAACTAAGTTATCTTATATAAATTGAAATTACTCAATTTTATTTTATTTGTTATTTTAGAGAAATTATTCAAATATTATATATGATATTAGCTTGAGAGCTCCTTCCTCTATCCCACAATTGCGGGCATGACTACGTCCTTTCTCTATACTCTGTGATTACTATGCACGACTCTACACTACACTAGCCTTTACCCGAAACCACTAGACTAGGAAACGCATCTCACGGGCATTTTGTATCTCAACGAGGCACATTAGGAGAGATAGACATTGCGGTGGTTACCGGCTTAACATCGTTGGTAATTTATATATATTTTTTTACATTTTCACATCATTATTATAACTATTAACACTCTTGAAGCTTTTAGCAGCGGCGATAAGGTATTATTTAAAGCCTGACAATCTAAAACCAGTTCAAAACATATGTAATCATGTTGTGTTTTGATAATAAACAGTATATGACGTCAATTATTTTCATTTAAATCTGTTGAACTTTAGGAGATAATAATATAAGAGCATTGTTGCATCTGTGTTGAATTTTATACTAGGATAAAGTTATTAAATTATCGTGTTTTCCTCGGTCGTTGATACGAGTGCAATTTTCAAGTCAATCCGTCGTCTACAAGTTGGTGAAAATTACACTAAAATATTCCGTTACATAGATACACGCGATATTTAATAAAAGCGATATTAAAAACAAAAAATAAATGTTAAAGACATGATGGCTCTGTTTATTTATATTGTTTTTATCTCATAGACGTCAGATAGAAAAGCAGGCGTCCAAAACCGTCTAATTATATACGAGACACCCCGTGGGCGGGCGTTCGTTATAGACGCTAGGAGATTAGAAGCACGAGCGTACTGACGGAAAAATAAAAACCAAAAAACAACCAAAAAAAACCCTTTTTCTTAAGTTATTATTAATAAAAATTTTTTTTAAAAAAAAAAAAAAATATTTAAAAAAAAAAAAAGTGTAAAAAATGTGGAAAAAAAAAAAAAATGAAAAAAAAAATTTAATAATTTTGGAAAAAAAAAAACCAAAAAAAAAAAAATTTAAAAATAAAAAAAAAAAAAAAAAAAAAAAAAAAAAAAAAAATAAAAAAAAAATTTAAAAAAAAAAGGAAAAAAAAAAATTAATAATTATTTTTTTTTTTTTTAAATTAGATTTTAATATTATTTTTTTCTTACTTTTTATTTATTTTTTATCTCCTTTTATATACCACAAACAACCACCCCGCACCACCACCGCCGAAACAAGATCTGTGTCAATGTACTTGTTACGATATTGTAAACAAAAAGTTTTGGAACGGGATCAAAATGACGACAAGAGAATAGAATAGAATAACGATGTCTTATATTTGCGCGAACACTACACATTAAATGATACTAATTTTACTGATTTTGTCGCGTTTAATTTTAACTTTTTAATTCACGATGTTTCGGGTGCTTTACAGAAGCCCTTGGTCAAGGGGGTGATAGATGTGTTTGACGTCCTCCGATGTTGTTAGCTCGGCTGCCTTCAGTTTTTAAAATATTTTTTAATTCAATATAGATAAACAAGTAAATCTTATTGTAAAGTAATTTTTTAAACCTTTACCACTGGTTCGAAAAAAAAACCTCCGTCCTAGGAGGAACCAGTAAAAACCCCAGCGGAACTTTTTTTTTAGATATGTTACTCACTAGGAACACAGATTGTACAGACTTAGAAAACTTATTTAATAAACAGCTTGGAAGCGACCATCTCAATCCCAGGAGTTATTTTCTACCTTCCAACCTCAAAATACATATTATACAAAATTGAAGACAACCTCAAAATACATATATCTAATTGAAGATTTAGCACAAAACGAAGAATCTCATCTCAGTCCTCAGGGGTGACACTGGTTTTGATCCTTATTCGAGGATAAAAATGTAAATATCTATGAGCCACAGGTGGTCTTACCATTAGGTGGACTGTGTGCTCGTACGCTACCCTTATTCTATAAAAAAAGATATTTCTATCTAACTGTGGTGCACTCAACAGGTGCTGGCGGCGTTGGCCGCGCAGTCCATCAATATATCGGTGGGCTTCTGCCAAGGCTTCTCCGCTGTGCTGCTGCCCCAGTACACCCACGAGCACCCGAACATCACATACGAGCAGAGCTCATGGATCGGTAAATTTGTTTACTTTTTATACTTTATTATTGGACTCATATAAAGATGATACACAGTTTTCAATTAAGCCCTCGCTTCTGAACTAGGATGGAAGCTAGTTTCTACCATAATTTGTACACAAACAATATTAACACTAATTGTAAGCTTTAAATCAATTTAATAACATTTTAATTTATTTTATTTAAATATTTATTTTTATTGAAGGAAGAATTTATTTATATCATACAAATAAAAACATGCAGATGTATATATAAAAATTAAATACAAAATATTTACATAATTATACATAAAAATAGTCAATGAATAAATGTAAAAAATTGTTATCAATAAAAAAGATCCTTCATTAACTTGTTATTAAATTGATCTGTTATTAAATTGAACTACAAACAAGAAAAAAATAAATAAAAATAAAACAACAGATTGATTAAAGAATAGCGAATTTTATTTAATATGCTTGTGGCAATTCAATAAGGACATGAATGCGTGCGGTGTACCAAAAAGGAATGAAATGAAACTTACGATATGCAATGGTGTATTTAAAATAATACAATCTCGCCCTGATTTTTAGTGGTCCCTGATTATTAATGATTATTTAATTTCGTACATATATAAACAAACAAAATGGAAATAAATCTAGTTATGTGTATGTGACTGAACTCCTCCTAAACGGCTGTACCAATTTTGAAGAGATGTTGTTTGTGGACCCGATAGGTGGCGCTGTTGTCGAGATCCAGAAATCACCCGCGCGAAGCCGGGGCAGCTCGCAAGTCTGACTCTAAAACGTATAAAAGTCGAACGGAAGTAAAACGTCGAAAACGTAGAAAAGAACTCTTTCATTTCATTTTTTTAAATCTGCAGATTCTTTCTTCCTTTTTCTTTAACGTAACCTCCGCACTAAGAATTTCTCCTATATCGCCAAACTGCTCAAAGTATACAGAGATTACACATAAAACCAACATCTAGATCTAGATTTGTTTTTAATCTTATTGCGCATCGGGTAAATAGTGTTGACGTACTTTTCAGTACGTTGATTGTAGGCACCCGAATTCTTATCAATAACGCGCAAAGAATTTTATTTTTCGGTAAGAAACGTAAAATATATAAACAAAGTGGTTTATACATATGAATTTTAACTAACTGTTTTTTACGTGTGATATATTAGCAATCACAGATGATACTTTATCTTTTTTCTATAGCAGATTGAGTTTATCACCATGATAGCGAACCCTTATCAGGGAGTTTTGGCGGGAACTTGACCGTCTAGGATTGTTGCTCCTGTTTTATTGTTTAAATAATGGTTTGAAATGGATTTAGATAAGTAGAAGTGATTCGATTTTGTGTATTAAGTGTGGTAAAAACGACGAAACAAGGGCTTCGATGTTTAGATAAACCTCAAGTTATTTCGATCGCTAAGCGCTTTTATGGACATGAGTGTCATCATCGACTGTCCGCTGGGTTGAACTGTCATCAAAATCTCCTCGCACTGTAAGACATCAGTATATTGTGAAGGAAAAATCCATAAAAACGAACATCCCGAATGAAATGAAGATTTGGCTTAAAAGGCAAACATCCAAGCCAAATTTATTAATTTAAAAAACTGTTATCAGTCATTGACGCGCAAAGAATATTCGTTTTCGATAAATAACATAAAATTTATAAAACAAAGCAGTTTATTTAAGAATGTTACCTAACTGTATCTCTAAGTGTGATATACCGGCAGTCACAGACGATATTTTCATTTTAGACAGTCGATAGGGGCAGCAACTGCCGCGGAAATGCTGGTACAAGTATCTATATTGTCTTCTGATTACTGTTCCGTGTCAGTATGTTTACCGTTACGTGTGTCATTTCGAATAGATAATAACAACATTATAGTTAGTCACAACTTTGTATATTAACTAGCAATGTGAAGTTAACTTTGGCATTGGTAAAAGTCATAATCTAACACGCTAATCCTCTGTAGATACTCCTCAATATTTTCAAGTTCATTGCTATACGTTTCTACCCATCGGTTGGCAATAATTCTTCAATCTATATGGCCGGCCCTTTTAGCTTCGGCTACCGATCCGTTGGGCTATGCCTGTTACTCCGGTTTGTACTAATGTCGTAATTGTAATAAAGTCGGCAAAGTAAACATGTGAAGGCACCGTATAACCCATACGTATGCTGCTAATGATAAGAGTTATTCCCCTATTCTATAGTCATAATATGCTTTGTACGTTCCGGGGCACGTATAAGCGATATGACAATAAATTAAATGATTTTAACTGAGTGAAATGAACTGACATGAAAAAAAGCAATGAAGCTAAACGGAATAAAATTTGACAAGTTAACTTTATATTATGATTAAAAAAAACTTAGAATTGATCCAACACCAGAAAATTTTTTTGTACCGTGGAGAGACAACAAGTGGACGTATGTAGATTATTCACATGCTTTTAGAAAGGATTATTGATGCAAATTTTTTTTTATATATAAATATTAGCAATGCTAACAAATAATGATTCCGCCATCTAACTTTTTTTTCAACTAGTGCTTATTTCGTGAATGACAACACTTAGCTCATGTCTAATTTGACAGATAATTAGTTTTATCCTTCCGCTGAACGAATATGGTTGTGTATACGCTTGAACAACGCTGGGAAATATTGCGACATTACTTTGAAAATCATGGTAATGTTGCAGAATGTGTGCGAAAATTGCGTACGGATTTTGGAAGAAATGAAGCACCGTCAGCTCCGTATGTTCGTTACCTTCTGAAAAAAGTGAAAGAAACTGGCATCCTCATCGATAAACCAACGCGTGAAAAGCCAAAAACAGTGCGTACACCCGAGAATATTGCTGCTGTGGCCGAAAGTGTGCGTGAAACGCCATCAACATCAGTTCACCGTCGTTCTCAACAATTGGACATTTCGGAGACATCATTGAGATGAATTTTGCGTAAAGACCTTGGTATGACGCCGTACAAAATCCAATTGGTTCAGGAGTTGAAGCCAACTGACCATCCAATGCGTTTTCGCTTCGCTAAGTGGGCCTGCGATCGACTTGCAGAAGATGCGGATTTTGCCAAAAAAATCATCTTTTCAGATGAAGCTCATTTCGAACTTGGCGGGTATGGAAACAAGCAGAATTGTCGCATTTGGGGCACAGAAAACCCGCACGCATTCATCGAAAAACCGGTGCGCCCAAAACGAGTCACTGTTTGGTGCGGATTTTGGTCCAGAGGCATAATTGGGCCATTTTTCTTCGAAAATGAGCAAGGTGTGGCCGTTACAGTCAATGGCGATCGTTATCGGGCCATGTTGAACGAATTTTTGTTCACAGAAATTGAAGAGGAGGATATTGGCAACATTTAGTATCAACAGGACGGCGCAACGTGCCACACAGCCGACGCTACACTTGATGTTTTGCGCCCTGTTTTTGAAAATCGCATTATCAGCCGCAGAGCTGATGTCGTTTGGCCACCTCGGAGCTGCGATTTGACACCGTTGGACTATTATTTGTGGGGTGCCGTCAAAGATAAGTGTTACACCGACAAGCCAGAGACAATTGACGCTTTAAAGGACAATATTTGTAAAGCCATTGGTGAAATACAGCTGCACACAATCGATAATTTTCCATTTGAATGAAATTATTTTCCATCATTAACCGGAAGGATTGTACTTTCAAATAAAAAAAGAAATTTGAAAAAATATTTAGTAGTTTTTTTAATAGCATTTTTAAAAAAAAAAGTTATTTGGCGGACCCTATAACTAATATTCTCAGTTACCTCTACACATAAACTTAAAATGTGTCAAAGTCTGACGTTTATTTTCGTACATATTGTCAATGTCAAATACACAATAGTCTGTGGCCAAACATTCACCGAGTAAAGATTGTTGCCAAAATTTTTTAAAATGTTCCCAATAAATAATAACTACTTAATTTTACGTGAGTTCAATTGTTGCTTTTGCAATAGTCTGTGGAGTATATGCCATTAACTCTCACGCCTGTTACCCGGAAATGTGGGCAGAGACTACGGACTTCCATTTGGCACGATCCTGGCATACCCCTCTCGCCTCCTTTACATCCATATGGCTACGCATAGACGCTCGTCTGAGATATACTAGTGTGCAATTGAAAGTTAAATACAGCTTCCTTGATATACAAACTTAAAAAATCTAATGAATTACGTCCGAATTTCGACTAATAAGCGACCACTAATAATAATCGTACGTGGTAGACCCATGCTGCAATTACATTATGGTTGTAGCGCGAATGGGTCGGCTCGATCGGGGTAGGTCCATGCTCTCACAGAATACCAGCGTAAAATAGCAGCTTAATGCTACTGTGTATCGTATGGTGCGTGTAAAGAAACAAAGATCCGTTCTACTGAAAACGAGGAATCCTATCTTACTCCTCAGAGGTGAATGCATCTGCATTTTGATTCTTAATCGAGGATAAATGTAGATGTCTATGGGCCACAATATCTACTTACCATCAGGTGGACTGTGTGCTCGTTTGACACCATTTTTTTTCAAAATATAGGTCCATTGACTAGATTCTAAACGCGTTTCGTTTTTTTGTCCACAGCCAGTCTTGGTGTTATTTCAAACCCCATCGGGGCGCTTCTCGGCGGCATGATGGTGGACGCGGTGGGCCGGAGGCTGTTGCTCCAGTCCATCGTCCTGCCCAATTTGATAGGCTGGCTGGTCATTGCTTTCTCCGAGGCTTATGTCTTCCTGTGCGTCGGACGCTTCATCACCGGATTTACCATCGGTGAGTTAATATATAATTTTAATACCTATTAAGCTTTATATAAAGTTATTTCTTATGTTTATGCGAAAATCATACCCGAATTAAAAGTTTTACACATAGCTGATGTAAAAAATCTGGACAATGTGAACACGTACAGGATCACCTCCACCATTACATCAGATTTGAAGTACCACAAATACTCGCAAAAGAACACCGATTCCTCCCAAAGATGATATACGAGGATATTGAAGTCAAAAAACATCCTAACATTTCAATAAAGAAGATGGCTAGGTGCTTCTATCTGCTTGGGAACCTATAATCTATAAAATTAAAACGCAACCCAAGCATATAACTGCAAAACGTTAAGGAATAAGCTCGTTGTGCGTAGAATTGACCAAAAACTAATAATTTTAAACTGTAGGTAGCCGTGATTTGGAAAGGAGAACGGGGAGGAATATTCCTCTCCCGAGGAGGTGCTGCCATGGGGCGGCAGTCGCTGGTGGGGCCGCGGAAGTGTGCGAAAGCGTTCCCGTAGCCCTGCCAATATGCGACGAAGGTGGAACACCATGGGGTTTTAGTCGGTGCGAGTCCGACATAACCCGTCCTTGCCCCCGCGAGGCGGGTATGCGTAGGCATTTCCCCATGTTAAAAAAAAAAGAAAAAAAAGGTAGCCGTGGTTAATTATGACACGGGGATGTCGAACATTGTCCTGCCGTGATTAGTTAAAACTGGTTTTATTCAAGGGTCACTGCCGAAGATGGACCTCTACCATAAATTGCCTCGTGGCAGGTGAATTAGCGACCGCAGTTTTTAAATTATTTTAAGTTGTTATTAGGAAGTTGCCGCTGCCTGATCTCTTTTAGTTTCATTTCCTTCTGTCACCTCTTATGATATCCACAGGATGACAAGGTAGGTTTGAAGAGCCACGTTGCAGCTATATTATGGTTGTAGCAAGAATAGGTCGGCTCGACCGGGGAGGGACCACGCTCTCACAAAATAACAGCTTAATACTACTGTTGAATAAGACTAAATTTACGGATTTTATCGCATTTAATTAACTACTTTTACTTATTTTTAATTACCGACGTTTCGGGTGCTTTACAACACCCATGGTCACGGGGGACTGCCATAATACCGCCATTGATATATCTATTAATGGCAGGAAGATCCCAAATTTTTCTGTAATCAAAACTCTTTTTTGATACCCATGGATCGCAAAGAATTACCATCATACAGCACATGTTAACCACGCCTATATGTTATAAAAAGACAAAACTATGTAAAGTATCTTTAAGGACATTTTTTTCCTTTTTCAGGCATGTCAACAGCATCATACATATACGTTGCTGAAATAACAACACCTGAAAAACGAGGGGTTCTGAGCGCCGTTGGTCCGGGATTGGTTTCGACGGGAATCTTCATCGTCTATTTCTTAGGAGCCTTCGTCCATTGGAGGAATGTCGCCGCGATATGCGCAGGCTTCTCACTTCTCACTCCGTTCCTGATGTATTTCGTGCCGGAGTCACCACTCTGGCTAGCCTCAAAGGGACAAATGAAAGAAGCCTACAGCGCCTTGTTCTGGCTGCGACAAAATAATAACACAGCACAACAGGAGCTGATGGAGTTTACGAAAGATCGGAAGACTAGTGAGACCATGAACTTCAAACAGAAACTCAGTCTCTTCAAGAGACGGAAAGTCATAAAACCATTCGCGTTGTTGATAGTTTTCTTTATTTTCCAAGAGATGTCGGGCATTTACGTGATATTGTACTACGCTGTAGACTTCTTTAAGTCAGTAGGGACGAGTGTGAACGAGTTTACAGCTTCGATCATTGTTGGGGGCGTCAGAGTATTTATGGGCGCTGTGGGTGCTTGTTTAATCAACAGCTTCAGGCGGAAAATCTTAGCAACCGCCTCAGGTCTATTGCTAGGCGTTGCAATGCTCGGAGCTGCGATATGTGACACCTTAGACGGTCCGCCATTAATGAAACTGGCCTGCATATTGCTCCATGTCTCCTTCAGCATGGTTGGCTTCTTGCAATTGCCTTGGATCATGTCCGGAGAGTTGTACCCTCAGGATATAAGAGGAGTTATGTCTGGAGCCACTTCCTGTTGTGCTTACGTGTTAATATTCTTCAACATAAAGACCTACCCGCAATTGGAATATTACATAACAAGTAATGGAACTTTATACCTATTTGCTTTTTGTGCGCTTTTGGGCGCGACGTACTGTCTTCTTTTCCTGCCTGAGACCAAAGGCATGACTCTGTCCGAGATCATACGACAGTTTGAAGATGAGAAGAAAGAAATCGATGCAGAGATCGGATGTGACAAACAAAACAAAATAGAAGCTAGGACAGTTCAACGGCGGCATAGCGCCGGAGCGGCAGTTTCATTAGAAAAATGCGATATGTTCACGCCGCGTTGGACTCAAAAGGAGACAGTAGAGAAGTTGGCAGATCGCGAATAAGTTCCTAAAGACTGTTTCAATTACGAGAGTTTGTAATTGTTTTAAGTGTTGTACAGTTTGTTTATATTTATTTAAAATGGTCGTGATCAGTATTATAGAAGTTTTGAGTGATTATTTTTTATATAGTTTTAGTGATTTATACACAACATTCCGTAGTTTAAATATACAAGGTGACATTGTAACGAATTATTTTAGTAAGTTTTAAGTACAAATGAAGTTTGTTGGTTTTGAACATAGAGCAACACGGGTCATCGGCAGACCGGAGGGGAGTTGCCGCCATACGCAGGCGTTCCCCTATATCAAAGTATAAGTCCTACCATGCGTACAATAAAATTAGTTGCTACTCTAACTAACTCTACTCTCTAGACTACATCGACGCCCTACAAAAATCACAAATTGTTCAATTTTTTTTTGTCTGTCATGTTAAATTTACAAAAAGATGGTGTTACCTTTAGTACTTAAGTAATTTTAATCATATTGTTGCTATTTACTACTTCTTAAACTTAAAAACTACAACAATAACTGTCGTGTTGTTTCGGATTTGCTTACCAACACAGGCCGCTCGCCCTTAAACAATATGCAGATCGGTCGAGCGGCTGATCCAAGTCTGTATCTAAGTTGTTACTATCACCGAGCGATATTGTTTTAATGTATCTATGTGTGTGTGTGTGTGAAATTGTTAGTATGTTGTTTTTATTATTACGTGTGTTTCGAGGTGACAGACGTTTGTTTTGAAAGGGGAAAACCGATATGGACACATGCTTCCGACTTGCCGGCAATCCGTGTTACTCTATGGTTTGGAATAGCATTGCAATATAGAGTGATTAATTTTAGTTACAAACTACGTTAATATCACAACAGGATGACTGCGTGCCTTATGGTATACTTACAAAGTTATTTTTAATACTTAGTTATTAAACTAAGACTAGTTCAATAAGATGATTTAAATGCTGTGATGAGGTTGAATATATCTAACTAATATTTTTGTGTGAATAAAATTGTGTATTATTAATATTTGTTTTATTTATATGAATTATATTTATGTATACCTAAATATAAATGAATACATGGTTAATAATGACCCCGGGGAATGAGATCACTTCCAAGCTGATTTTTAAATAAGTATTTTAAGAAATTTGTTCAGCCTGTTTTTATTGCATGATTTTACTTTGAAATTGACATAATTATAATCCTTACAATAGGAGACGTCTGGAATTTAACGGCCAAAAAAAAGATAATTTTGTATAGAATAAGGGTGACGAACGAGAATCTGTTAAATTGTAAATCTAAACCATGATAACCACCCTCTCAAACACTCGCAATAAATGTCAACCTGTAAGCTCTGACAGCGCGCGACATGTTATTAAAATACTACTTATTTTTGAGTTTCTGCCAGACTAACCATAAAATTGATTTTATATATATATATATAAAATCTATATTTAATTCTACAATCTGGGTGTCTTCAAGTCGAGAGAAAATAGGCATGTAGCACTACGTCAGTGCAATTAACTAAAGTAAAAAATTTAAGTTGCAGCCTATATACGTCCCACTGCTGGGCACAGGCCTCCGCTCATTTCTGAGAGGGTTTTAGGGCAAGAAATTGTCCGCCGCGCTGCCCCAATGCGTGTTGGCGAACTTCACATGTCTTCGAAATAATTTTTTTTCTTATTCCTCAGACATGCAAGTTTCTTCACTATGTTTTCCTTCACCGCCGAGCACGTGGTAAATCAGCACTTAAAATAATGATTTCTTATATTTACGCGAACACTATACATGATTAAAACTACTTTTGCGGATTTTATCGCGTTTATTTTTACTTTTTATTTACTTTCCCCCGTGACCATGGGTGCTGGAAAGCGCCCGAAACGTCGGGAATTAAAAATAAAAGTAAATAAAAAGTAAAAATAAACGCGATAAAATCCGTAAAAGTAGTTTTAATCAAGCACTTAAAATTGCAATTAAAAATTTCACTGGTGCCGGCGGGGATCGAACCCGGTTTGCTCGCGTACCTACTGTGAAATTTACAGCGAGCGCTAACCATCTGAGCTACCACGGCTCTTGCAATTAACTATCCAGGGCTTAATCAACGTTTACCACCAGATTGTGATTGTAGACAAGCATTGGCTTATAATAATGTAAAAAAAGAATAGTATTATTCCTGTCTAAGCGCAAAATACGCGCTTAATGACGAAGTTACGGTACCCAGCCTGTGTAACGCCAGCACCAAGGGTACAAAATAATTCTTATCTTACTATGAGTTACAAGCAAACTGCCAATACTGCTAAAAATTGTATTTTTTAAATTTGTTTTTAAAATATAAATATACATTATAACCTTAAGTTTAGGCTTATTTAAAGACCTAATTAACGATAATATCTATAAACGGTTTCATTCCTCTCGTGAATATCATATTTAGTCACACTTTTGCTCGTGACATCAATGTTGGGACTTTAGATTATCTGAAAGTGACGTCGAAGCTCCGAAGTTATAACATTACATTATTGATGTTAAATGATTGATATTGTATTTCCGACTCTGTTGATTATCTCCATCGTTAGAATATGTGATATAAAAAAATAGCTCATCATGATTTTACACGCGTTAGAGCCGCGCTGGAGCTATACCTATTGTGGTTATAGCACGAATGGGTCTACTCGACCGGGGAAGTAACACGCTCTCACTGAATACCAGCTTGAAATAGCTTGATACTGCTGTGTTTCGAATAGTAAGTGTAGAGACCCTGTTTTACTGGAAACAAGGCATTCCATCTTCGCCCACAGGGGAGCAAGATATTTTGATTCTTCATCAAGGATAGACGTAGATATCTATGGGCCGCAGCATCCACTTACCTTCAGGTTAACAATGTGCTCATTTGTTATACTCATTCTATATAATAAAGAATTGACCGACAATCTTAGTTCTCGCAGATGACAACGCATCTATAGGCCGGCCAATGTGAAAACGTTAAGCCTTGGTAGATACTAAAACGCGCTGGTTATAGTTTTAACAACTTCATTTGTTTTCTAAGCCGCAAAACTCAAAGAATAACAGAGTTATGTCATTAAAAATATAAAATTAGAGGCAACAACTTGATAAATAACGTTTTGATACTATCATAAACAAAAAAGTTCTATTTGTTCAGTTTGAGTAAACAACAATAAAATAATTGCAGTTATTTTTAATTGCGTACTAATTAATTACAATAATTTATCAGTTTAAAGTTAATCTCAACCGAAACAAATAATACAAATAGTTTTAATGAAACTAAGATTTTCACACAGCACCAGGAAGTAGGTTGCTATCCGATGGAAGTAGTACATGATATAGATCTATTTAATTATTGTATAAATTACAAATTAATTTATATAATTAAAAACAAAACCTATTTTTAAAAAAACAACTGCAAACTGGCAGTTAATAACGTAAAAGTTTGGTTAACGTTAAGTTTTCTAAATAATTAACTATATTATTTATTTTATTTTATATTTGTTTCACTCTGTCGCCTCTCACGGCACCCACGAAATGATATGGTGTAGTGAATATGCCTAAACTGCTACTACACGGTACGGTATTTTCTAATAGCGATTAAGTTAAAAAAAATGCGGTTGCCAAACCGCTTGCAAAGCGTGGCAACTATGGCGAACCCCCTCACGAGGCAATCTATGGGGAGGCCTATGTTAAGCAGTGGACTTCGATAGACTGTAACGAATGAATGAAATAGTTAATTATATTTTATATACTGAATCCAATCTTGAGCCGACCAGGTCAAGCCACATTAGGCCAGAATATAAACACTATATTTCAGGAACAATATCAATATTTTGTAGTGCCATCTATCGGAAAGTATTAAGAATAAAAAACGGATTGTGAGTCACGATCAAAGGGAAGCCTTTCAGTTCACTTTAGTATACATAGATGGCACTGATATAAAAATGCATGAAATGCTTTGTGACGAACAAAAATATTATTTAATATAAGATCAATCAAAGTTCGTCATTAGCCTAATATAACTATCAAGATCACTTACCTTGTCTGCGGGATGCCATACTTGATTCCGACTCCAACTCTCGGTAGGGCCTTGATCACTTTTTTGACTGTCGCCTGATCAGGGAACGCGAAGAAGATTGATGCTGCAAGCAACAAGTAGAAACCTTAAAGATATTTAAAAAAAAACTATTATTTTTAGCTTATCGCCTCAGTTTCTGTCAACGCTAACAAATTCTGTCTAGTTTATTTCAAAAGCAAAGTGTAAAAGTGTCGACGATAGTGTTACATTTTGCACTTTTACAATATGCTGGATAAATAAATTATTCTAGGTTTTAAATTTAGAGAATTTTAGTATTTAAAATTCAGAGGATTTTATTAAGTGGTAGGTAGGATGCTTTGCCTGGGATCGTATATGTGTTTAATACTAATCCTTTCTTTGCTGCCAAGTAGTAACACCTCAATGCATCCTCTTCAGCATTTCAGTTGGAAGAGTAAGGAGAGCCAGAGTCCAGCATAATTTCAGTCTGTGCGGCAATTCACATTTGTCATCAGAGTTAATAAGTAATAGTGCACCTGTATTGTTAGGTATTAGTCCGGGTTAGGCAGAACTGTTAGCTATTTTGTTACTTCAAAATTAAAAAATATTCTAAATGTATAAATGACTCATATTGCTGTAAACTTGGAGATTCAATATGTTGTAATCTCGTTTCATTTTAGCATTACATAATTTGAATACAAGCATTAAATAGCAGTATAATGCTGTTGTGATTCAAATACCAGTGACGAGAACCGAAGATCGTTTTTACCGGTAACGAGGAAATCCATCTTGCCGTCAAGCTTGATAACGCAAGTTGTCTATGTATCAAGCACCTATTTATTTATTTTTGTTTCTCTTATCTTTTCTTTTTCTATAGTTAATCATTAGGTGCATTGTATGCTCAAAGAATTATTATAAAGCGTGTATTGCATTGCAGCATATAATGGCACTCTATTAAACACTGCGGACTCATCCGTGCGCTATTGAATCGATTTGCGCGCATGCACGCACACACTTCTTTTCTTCTTTATTTTAGAGTCTGTATTGTAGACGGAAAATAAGGTAATTGAATGGGAGGGAAACTGCCTACTAATCACATTAAGCGTTGATTTTTCAAGTTTAATTCTGTGTTAAATAAATTATTATTATTTACAAAACTAATCCTGCATCTCTTCTAGGTCTTGCCGCGTTGATATAATAATTTTTCGCACTCCAATCTGATGTCAGGAGTTGCGAGAGATGTCTTTTAGTTCTTGTCGCTTATAATAGATGGCAGTACAAGCTATATCGTATTTTTATTAGACGATACTCAGATCGACGAAGGGAAGCAGCATCATAGGTAGGATCACTAATGCCGACTTTTTATAATTAAAAACGCTTCGTTTTATTTTACGAGCCGTTCTGCGGTAAGTGGATTGTATGATAATCACCCTTAAAACAAAACACCAGTTCAACTATTTATCGACCATTCAAAATTTTCTTTAAATTTAAGTCATCCTAAGTTTCTGAATGAATAGTTTGTAATGTTACCATTTTTACAGGCGCCTCGTATTTAATAAAACGAATAATTACCGAGAACGCAACGTTTCCTAAGTCAGCTCTCGGCCTGCTAAGCCCTGAGTCAGATGAACCTGTTAAAGCCGTATAGGCTAACAGCACATATCAACCGGGCATAGATACAATCGGGCATTAGTGTACTGCTGTGGCGATTGGAGGAAATAAAAAAATACAACAGTTAGGGCCCGATCTACCCACAAACTAACTAGGCTGAGCGGTCGGTGAAATTCACCCACAACATTTGGATTCGTCACTCCATCTAGTGGGGGATCGCCCTACTTTTCGCAATTAGATGGAGTAACGACCTGGTAAAACATGCAGGAAGTCGATGGATGCAGGTGGCTTAGGACCGTGCTTTGTAGCATACCTTGGGGGAGGCCTATGTTCAGCAGTGGACTTGTGAAGGGCTGTAATGGTGGTAATGGTGGTGGTGATGGTGATTTGGGTTCTTTTTAATTAAGTATAATATACTTATTTTTTATGTAACTATACTTATGTTCTATTCGAATTACAAATACCTCAAATACTAAGCCCTTCAAATTAGTCTATAAAATGATAAATACATACAAAATAAAAATTTCGATAAAAAGAAATTGTATGCTCAAATCCTCCTTAGAGGTCCAGCTGTGGACTGATAACGTATTGATGCGGAGGACATCACATGCAGGTCGCAGTATATGATTCATTAATGATTAGTGCTACTTACTTCTGCTAGCCAGGAACATCTCGATGGCAACACTCTGCAGGAGGTAGCGGCGGGAGAAGATTGCCCGGATCTCGCTGAAGTACCATTTCCCGTGCAGGTGCTCGCAGTATTTCAATACCTAGAATATAAAGAAAAAACATGTTAAAAATTAAAAATGCATTTAAAAAGTACGTAATACCTACATGACGTGTGATGGTTTGTACCGATTTAGGGTTTTATTGTCATCCCTAAGGACTAAAGAGGAAATGTTACCAGTAAAAGGGTCTCGACCTCCCACTATCTATTTTATGCTGGTATTCCGTGCGAGCGTCGTCCTTCCCCGGTCGAGCCGATCCAGTCGTGCTGTAGCCATAATATAGCTACAGTGAGGCTCTACCACGTATAATATATTTATCCTTGTGTTTATTCTTCATGGTCATCAATCTCTTATAGTCAGTTACTAGCTATGGACTTCTCCCACTGTAGAGACGTTAGCGACAATCGTCACACTTGACCAGCAGATTGACGATTACAGAACCTGTCGTCTCGCCTTTGACGCTGCACCTCGTCATCGGTATGGGCACAGTTTAAAGAGTTAGCTCTATAAACTGGGTATTTTGTATGTCAAACAAATACATATACCAGCTTGATTAGATGGTGATTGGATGGAGTTTAAGTGGATTTTTGTGGTGTTTCCACAGTATATCTAAATATTTATATTTCTACATATAATATAGCGTTAGCGTTAGTGAAGTTTTATTTGGGATGTTGTGTGTGGTTAAATAGTGAGCTAGATATTAAGACTGGAACAAAAGAAAAGAAGAAGCTACAGTAGTCTAACGGCAGGGTGTGGACCGCGAACTCAAAAGGTCATGGGTTCGAATCCACCATTCGACTACTGTCGTGAACCATTCCTAACACTAGCATTTTAAGCTTACCAGGAGTGCTTAAGGTGAATATTAGTAATGATGACAGCATTGCTAATATTTAAAAAAAATAGTTCTGAAAAAAAAGTTAGTGAAACATCGAAATTTATTTGTTTAGAACCTAAGTAGTAATGATTTGTATAATCCTTATTTTGACTAAAGCGAGTATTCTTATTATTATTTATTATATGCAAATTTTACGTGCACTTATTGCTTAATTTGTTCAGATGTACGAGTAGATGTCTCTGAGTCACAGTATTCATTTACCATCAGATGGACTGTGTGCTAGTTTATACTATTAAAAGTACTATAGTAGTACTTTTATACTATAGATAATTGACAAGAAATTTTAAATTTAACAGTCACAAAATTTAACAATCATTTTATTAAAAAAGACGTCGAATCAAACTTTAAAAGGAAACAACAATATCGTGTCAGAGTCACAGCGCCGGCGCGTCGTTAAACTCTGGACATGATGTCGTAAAAACTTCGTTAGAGGTTAATTTATTTATGCATTAAATAAAACAATCACATAGAAACATGGAGATTAATTCAGCGATGTAATAAATTGGGATGCATATAAATATATGACTATGTGAACAACACACCAGTTGTTATATGAGTACGTATAACTTAGTTTCGATATAGGTGATGCGTAATACACGATTAAGTGAAATTGAATGAAACTAATTTTACGGATTTTTCGCGTTTAGTTTAAAGTTAAAAAAAAGTAAGTAGTAAAGTTACAGCCTATATACGTCCTACTGCTGGGTACAGGCCTCCTCTCATTTCTGAGAAGGTTTTAGGGCAAGGAATAGGCCGCCGCGCTGCCCCAATGCGTGTTGGCGAACTTCACGTCTTCGAAATATTTTTTTTTCTTATTTCTCAGACATGCAGGTTTCCTTACGATGTTTTCCTTCACCGCCGAGCACGTGGTAAATCAGCACTTAAAATTGCAATTAACAATTTCATTGGTGCCGGCGGGGATCGAACCCGGTTTGCTCGCGTATTGTGAAATTTACAGCGAACGCTAAACATCTGAGCTACCACGGCTCTTAAAGTTAAAAAGTTACAGCCTATATACGTCCCACTGCTGGGCACAGGTCTCCCCTCGTTTCTGAGAGAGTTTTAGAGCAAGGAAGTATCAATGTCCGCCGCGCTGCCACAATGCGTGTTGGCGACCTTCACATGTCTTCAAAATATTTTTTGTCTATTTTTTCAGACATGCAGGTTTCCTCACGATGTTTCCTTCACCGCCGAGCATGTGATAAATCAGCATTTAAAATTGCTATTAACAATTTCATTGGTTACGACGGGGATCGAACCCGGTTTGCTTGCGTACCGTGAAATTTGAGAAAGCGCTAACCGTCTGAGCTACCACGGCTCCTGCGTTTAATTTAGTTGATTTTAATTTCCGCGTTTCGGGTGTTTTCCAGCACCTATGGTCACGGGGTACTAAGGTGATTGAGGTCCCGATGTCAGTGTACACTGAAACGTCGGTAATTAAAATCAACTAAATTAAACGCAAAAAAATCGTAAAACGAGTTTTATTCAATGTGTAGTGTTTGCGTAAATGTTATAAGCCATAGTGACTAAGTGAAATGTCAAACAAGTTAATTAACCACACAAAAGGATACGAAACTGAGTAAAAATCGACATCAAAGAACTTAAAAATAAATACACATAACGGCCCCTGTAGACAAGGCTACTACGCATTGTTTGAGCACCGACTTCAAAAGCTTATATATGGATATTATTTTATTCTTTTTGGTAGTTTTGTCGGCTTTTAATTCTATTAAGTTTTATTGTTCAAATCAACACTTTATATTATCTTGATTATTATTTAATTTTGAAAAAAAAAGAAATAAATTACGGCTCCTACAGTTAATTGTATGACCAACAAACAATTGTTCCAGGTCTGGATGTTTGTCCTTGTGCAATTTAATATGTTTATAAACTGCCTCCACGATACAGGAGAATATTGTAGGTTTAAGGGGTAACATTAAAAAAGAAATAAGTAAAAAAAGGAGTCATATAAAAGGGAGTTATACGTGGTAGAGATACGCTGCAGCTATAATATTATGGTTGTAGCACGTATGGTTCGGCTCGACCGGGGTAGGACCACGCTCTCACTGAATGCCAGCGTAAAATAGCAGCTTAATACTGCTGAGTTTCGTATAGTGAGTGTAGCGATCCGGAGACCCTTTTTTACTGGAAACGAGGCATTCCATCTTAGTCCTCAGGGGTGACAACGCATCTGCATTTTGATTCCTAATCGAGGATAGATGTAGATGTCTATGGGCCACAGCATCCACTTACCATCAGAAGGACTGTGTGTTCATTTGTCACCTTTATTCTACATATGAAAAAAGGCGACATCACTAGTAGCGAACTGTTTCGCGGATGTGAACGTTCGATTCTCGACAGATTTGTTTCCACATTTAGAACGATTTGAAACCTCGTCATCTAATACTTTTTTAATGGGAAATAAAAAAAAAAATAAAACTACAACCTTATACAAGAATATAATACTTCTAGTAATTGAACTGTGTAAGACGTGATAAAATCCTCTCCCCTTTGTGAAATATAAAAAGTTAGCTCCCTAGTTGAGAAAGGAGTACGCCTTCATTAGCGTAAAATAGAAGCATTGATCAGTCAATCGATCAGATATTGCTTTTTTCAACCGACTGAGAAAAAGCAGGAGGTTCTCAATTTGAATGTATTTTTTTATGTGTTACCTCACTTTTTTCTTGGTAAACTGATTTTGATGATTCTCTTTTTATTTGAAAGCTCATGCTTTTCATGTGGTCCCATTAAATTTGATCGAGATTTGAAACAACACGCATTAATAATGTGCTAATAAGCTGTGATAATCCTAGTGAGAACACCAATGACCGATTTATCACATTATCAATTAAGGCAGGCAAAAGATCTTATACCATTCAGCCTAGTCTGATGTGAGTTTTGTTCAAACTGGAATATCTTTAATTTCTGGATAGGTATAAAAATATTGCATTGTCACCGGTTTCAATATTTTCTGTTATACGGTCTGCAAATTTTCAAATCAATTAGATTTTTAGAAGTGACAACTAGTAGAAGTTAATACATGCATCATACATACAGGTCAAGTTTATATAAAGTGTGCAAATTATTTTATCCTGGCGACCCTGATCCGGGTACTAAGATAAAGTTATTAAATTATTGTATTGTGTGTTTCAAGTCAATCGGCAGTTCATAAGTTAACGAAAAATACGCGAAGCTAATAAAGAACTGTTGAAAACAAACGCGTCGAAAATGCTTTTCGTTTTTGGAACTCGATTAAAAATCCATATAATATGACACTTGATAATAATTCAAAAAAATTATATAGTTCAAGAGTACAATGAAGTTAGGGTAATAAAAATCACTAACAAAGACCAAAATGGCACATGCCTTGTTCCCATGCATCATGCTGAGTGCGTGGGGGGCGATAATAGTCCCTTGGAGATTGATTAGGGACTGTTATGTTGTGATTTGTCCAAATGTTTGTCCGCGTAAATAACATCTACGGGAGATAAAGCACGACTTGTGTGCGTGACGTAAGACTCTTATGCTTTCTGATCACGACTTTTTGAATTTTAATGCGGTAAATTTAAATATACAAATAAGTTTAAGCATAGACTCCAACCATTAATTTCTTCGCAAGATATATGTCATGAAATAAAGAGAAGTTAGAGAGAGTGCCGTTAGAGGTCATTTTTGAATTAATTGTTGTCATTACAAAGTCGAATAAAATGACTGCAGGTGCGATTTAGGCTGTCTTCACTACCAACTATCAATTAGGAAATAATTTCGAGACTGGTACTTTTATTATAAAAATACATAATGGGAACTCAATCACGTATTAATTGTGCTTATATTGGTTTCAAGACGATATCTCCATTTCTTCAGTGATCGAACTCGATTTTGTCGTGTAATTATGAAAACGTAACTATGAAATTTTGAGACATACGGTGGCAGTATTTGACAAAAACCTACTTAGAATCATAGTTTCGAAATGTTTTGACTAACTAACATCTTTCCAATTTACATTTCGATTTTCTACGATTCTCTTTGGCAAATATTTCGAAAGAAAGGAATGGTTAGGAAGTTTACGTCCTAGGCCAAATTAATAGTAACCTCAACCGACGAGCATGTACGTAATTATACGTTAAGGAGGCGACTGTGTGTCCGC